TCTTGAATGATAAAATCTTGGGACTCGAGGTCCATTTTGTAAGACTGTAAAGTAGAGAGCTAGTCGTGAGTAAAGCAGCCTTTATTACGGCGACAGTTTTTTCATCCGGATGAAAATCGCAGGAATGTCACGAACTAACAAACGCAAAAGTTTCACCGTTTACCCAATTCGCCGATGACGCGAGTTTAGTTGGCGGGGAATAAACATGAAGAGAACGAGACTGCGCGTGTATTCGTTCACGAGGTGCTTTTTCGAAAGCTTTTTCCAATTGAGCGCTTGGCGAGATTGGCTCGCGCACTGTGTCATAATTATTAGATTATTACAAAGTTTCTTTTATGAAATTCTTTCTGCAAATAGTTATTTTTACAAATCCAGTTCATCTTTTTATAAAAGAAGAATGCTATTTTAAAACTTTTCGTTAAAGTTGATTTTGAAGAAGAAAGGAAATTTGCAAAAATAATTTCTAATTTTTCGTTGAGATACACACACACACACACACACACACACACACACACACACACACACACACATATATATATATATATATAAGAATTATTTTTAAATTGGACAGATAAAAGATAAAATTTTTTTTAGAAATATATATATAAGAATAATTGTTTGTAAAAATAACCTACATAAAAAATGTAATACAGATTCGGTACTTTAAAAGAATTTAATTACCTCCCCTTCTATTTAGTTCTACGAGTAACGATTATCGACGAATCCGGGATCACTATCCTCCACCACGATCTACAAAAGCTCGCTCTTGCCTTCGTTTACGAGCGTATGCGACTCTCGACAGCTTGTCAGCATAAAGATCGTTACCTCGCGTGAGTGAACCTGCTTAATTACTCCACGTTAATTACGCGGTCGCGCTTTTACGCTGGTAACAACAAACGGCCAATTTTTATGACGGGTTTCTTTTGCTTAAAAATGAGTCTTTGAATGTTTGGGAACACACAATTGCAATGACGACAACATAATATCTTTTAATTTCTTGCGTTTCTTCATATTGAGCATTTATAATTAACAATAATATGGGATCAGAGTTAATCATGATTTTAATGCAAATGTAAGTGAAAAATAAGAAACAATTTTGTGAATTGTACATGGAAATAAAGATAATTTTTGTATAATTTTTGATAATTTTGAAATTAATTAAACCGTATTTACTTAATATTTCGTTTTTATATCGAATGTTTTTATGTTGAATTATTGAGTAAATATAGGAGAATAAAAATTTTTTTTTATTGTAAAAAAGAAACACTTTGAAAGATATGAAGAAAGATATAATATTAGACAGATTATTAAAATTAAATTGTTTGTAAAAATTTATGAAAAGTATATACTATAGAAATGCATCATAAATAACACTTACATTATTATTATGTTCTTTAAAAGTAAATGCCTTGATAAAATTATCACTATTCCAGTTGATGATTTCATTTGACATATTTTGAATATAAATCATTCATATTTTTTTTTTATTATATATAATATTTATTTTTCTTTTTACTTTATAACATAAATTGTATTGTATAAAAGCGAAATATTATTCATATAAATAAAATGTATTTTTAGTAAATTAAATTTGTATTCATGTTATTTTATATATTGCTTCCGTATCTTAGTATTATGTACACGAGAGAGAGGAGGGGGAGAAAGAGAGGAGAGAGAGAGAGAGAGAGAGAAAGAGAGAGAGAGAGAGAGAGAGGTGAGGGGAGAGTTATACAAGAAGAGATAAAGAAAGAGAGGAGAGTCACACGTGTGTTTAATTTTGAAGCTATTTAGTTAAACGTGGAGGATAGATATGTTTCACCGCTTCGCGATCGGTATCGCGCTTAATTGCGACTAATTCAATTATCCATGTGAATATTCGGTCGGATGCGCGTCATACTGGATTATTCTGCATCCCCCATTCCGCAGGATACATATCCCCATCTCACGACAGAGAATTTGCAAATTCATATATCTAACAGATTTTCTTACAATTAGTATAATGTATATTAATCTTCTAACTTTGTATACACAGGGTGATCCACTTAAGTCAACCATCTGAAATATCTCACTTATTTTTGATGATATAAAAAAATGTTTCAAATGAAAGTGGAAGAGTTTCGAGAGGGACGTATTTTGATCATATTGGTTTTTTTTTAGGAGGCGTCAAAAAGATATGAAAATTATCTTCACTTTTTAAAATGGAATTGTATGACTTTTTTACACAATATGATATTCTTATAATTATTTTCCATATAAAAGTATTAAAGTAGTATCAAAAAATCTATAGTTGACGAGATTTTACATTTTATTCTGGCACATACTGATATAAAATGTTAAATAACGTGTAAACTAATTAATTTTTCGATAATCGTATTTTAATACATTCATAAACAGAATAATGAGATGAATCAGTTGGTGGAAAGAATATAATGGCTTATTCAAAAAAATCATCCATTTTGCATACATATTTTTTTAAAGCAACTATATGTTTTCTTTACACCAATTGATTGAAAAAGTTAATAATTTATGAGTTATTTAACATTTTATGTCAATGTGTGCCAAAATAAAGTGTAAAATATCTCGTCAACTATTGGTTTTTCGATATTAGTACCTTAATACTTTTATTGACAGAATAATTAGAGGAATTTTATTGTGTAAAAAAAATCATACAATTCCATTTCAAAAAGTGCAGGTAATCTTCATTCGAAATCTTTCTGACGCTTCCACCTAAAAAGAAATCAACATGATAAAAATACGTCCCCTTCAAAATCCTTCCACTTTCATTTGAAACATTTTTTTATATTATCGATTTAAGTGGATCACCCTATATATGTGTGTATATATATATATATATATATATACACGCACACATATATATATAATTAAATAAAATATAAGCAGTAATTATAGAGAGGTGGTATTATGACCTCCTATTTACATTTTATACAATAACTTTGATTAATTAATTAATAATTTAAATTTAAATTTAAAACTTAACGATTATATTCGTCAAAATGATGTTTAATCAATTTTAAATTCAAAGTTACGAAATATTTATTACATAGAACATTATTTATAAAAATATGGCGACACATTAATAACTCGAAGAGAAACAGGGATGATAAAAAATTTGGCCTTCTACAAAAATAGATTTAAAAAATTGGTTTTTTTTTAAAGCAGTGTTTAGTTACAAAATTAACAAAAAAGTAAAACATTTTAGAATATATGCAATACATAAGTTGCTCAGTATTAAAAATCTCAATACTAAAAATATAATACTAAAAATATAATATTAAAAATAGAAAGTATACATAATATAAACAATAGATTAATAGTAGAGCTACGATTATTATCGATTATCAAATAATTATTTTGATATGAAAAACTTCAAAAAAGAGACTATGAGTAATCAATATGCATTAAGAACCATATTAGCAAAATGTCATGCTATTGTTTAAATTTGCATAATTCAAAATATATACAGTTAAACAAAATGTTAAATAGCAAATAACATACTCAAATATACACATATTCATGTAATAACACGTTTCATGTTTAAGAAAAATGAGGAAATAGACATAATTAAATGCTAAAATGTACCTTAGAAATGTTCGGAATATTTGAAAGTAAAAATACGTTATAATAAGTGCTGGCTATTGAGTATCGGCATAGTAACATCATGGTGTAACGGTGAGCCATTGAACAAATAATTCCATAAGTATCAACATTAGAATTCGCTACATAATAGCGTAGATATTAAGAGAGATCATAATATCTACACTGGCCATGATACCTTCCTCTTTATATACTTACATTTGTACTGAAATTCTATACACATTCATATATAGAATTATTGATACTTTGTTTATGATATGTGATATGTTATGTAATATGTAACAGATGTATTACAAATGACAAAATATTGATAATTTTAATCAATAATGTACAGAGTGTGTCATCAAAATCCGGACAAATTGAACAATTTCTTTAAACAAAATGTTTTTAATGAAAAATTAAATATTACAAAAAATTTTACATGGCACTTGGGGAATCCCTGTATAGAGCACAATTATTCGATATATTCTCCATTAGCTTGAATGACAGCCTCTATTTTCGGCCTGAAGCGTTCACATGCACGCTGTAATGTAGCGCTGTCCATGTCGGCGAATGCTGCCTCAATAGCGGTCCTTAATGACGTCACATTGGGATGCCGAGATTTGTTTGTGACCCTTTCAACTACACTCCATAGTCCAAGGAATTTAAATCTGGGCTGTTGGGAGGCCAGGCCAAAATGGGAGTCCAGGCGAACAACTCGGCTTGTCCTGGCAGCCTCAGAGAGCATCTGTCGTATCTTTAATGTGTACGATTTGTATCGAAGGTCCTCCTCGGCAATTCGACGCATTGTTGACTCACTTATACAAAATCGATGCTAATTTTCGCAACGATTGCCCTGGGCCATTCGAAATTAGCGCTTGAGTCCTTTCAACGACTGCGGGAACGACCTCGCGGTGCGTTCTTTCGAGTGACTCTTCCTCGTTGGCACTGGAACCTTCGTTGGACTGTTCTAAACCCGTATATTTTGCCACAACGTCATAAATGATTGATCTCGGGTATCCAAAGAACCGAATTATTTCCGTTGTTGAGCACCCAGCGCGAAGGCATTCGATGATCGCGGCTCTTCGATTACACTCCATACTTGGTTTCAACATCGCGGCCATTTTGGGAATATGACTGTTTACTCAGAAGCATCAGGCTTTCTTGGACGCCAACAACAATCTCTGGCGGAAGCACAATAAATCTGGCGGAAAATTTAAATTGAAATTTGTCCGCATTTTGATGACACACCCTGTATAATATTGATATTTGTAAGTTCTCGGCAAACTTCCGATCGATGCCGGAAATCTGATGACCTTTCCGTTTGACTCTCGAGTCGAGCAGAGACCGGAAATTATATTAATCCGTTCGGTCCGATCGATGCCAAAGGACACAGTGTAACTGGAATGCGGGTCAAATTCACGTGCTCGAACGAGACCCGACGTTATCGACTCCGATGGAGTTCTCGATTGGTAGAGGACCCGTGCATCCTTGCATTGAATCGGAAAGGAAGGTAAAGGGAATTTAATTCTTAATCCATTTGCATTCGCAGGCACATTGAGATCAGCTAACACTAAAGGCTAGACTATTTGTTCTACTGGTGATTTTAATCGTCCGCAACAGTTGTTCGTTAGTATTTTGCAGACATATCGTGTTACTCCGTTTTATTATTATTTTCAGAGAAAAAAAAATGATATTGGGAAATGTAATGTTCAGAGAATATAGCCTATAGCCATGAATTACAATCATCGTGGAAAATAATACACGTGCAAATTGATCGCCATGGGCATTAAAGGAGCTGAAGTCTGATTGTTTCAGTGTTTTAACCCTGTGGCAACAACAACCATTGAAAATAATTTAAATACCGCAGGAATCTGGTATTGTTTGATGTAACGACCGTGCGATGCAAAATAGCTCGTTCATGTGCGTGTCCATTTTATTTCCAGCGATGAATTGATGTTCAGGACGATATATTTGTTCGGCAGTCGCGTCATCCCGACTACAAAAGATTGATAATACCACGTTGTTATAATCGCGCGTAAATATCGGAAATGCGTGTGATTGCGATTTCAAACGATATTCCTCACCATGCCGATATTCAGTTGGGATATAATCGCATATCGCCAGCGTGGAACTTCCTTTGATGCGGAAAGAATGAACTGATGATAGCTTACACCATACTCCGAGATAATACTTTATCAAAGAATTTTTTTTTTTGCAAGAATACATATATTCCGAAATTCTCTGAGTTGTAAAAACTGTGCGGCTTTTGTTTCAGTTTTATTTTGCGAGAGAACTAGAGCGCTCAGGGCTATTTAGATTATGTTAGTCCTCTATTGTTTTATTTCGAATTTTGTGAGATTTGAAAAACGTTTTCTCATATTTCAGCCTCGCACAGGCTTTTGTTGGTATCGGTGATACTTTGAAGCAACCTGTGCGTTATCCGGGAACAAATACAGGGGAAAAGTTGGCGCGGCATGGCAAGCACCGAAGCTACGGCGGATGGGTACTCCCCTCTTTGATCGAAGCCTCGAAGCCTCATAGCGGTACTGACGTACTGACGACACTGACGTCGCTCGCGAATGCATTCGACGCGTATTGTTCATCGTCGTCGCGTCGCGCGAGTAGCTTTTATATGCCACCCTACCCTCTGGAATGAATTTCGCGTAGCTCGGCTTTGGCCGCAAACCGCGGAATTATACTTCGCTTTTCGTGCTTTTATCGTGACAGTGCTCACAACTGGATGCTTCAGCTTTTCTCGGCTTCCTCCTCTCCGTTTTTCCTCAATAGGGTCGGTGTCGTCAAACAATACATACAAATGTACGGCGAAACGTACATGAGAAATAATTTCGCAGTATTCCATTTGTTAATTTGTTGATGAAAGTTAGTTACGCAGATATTCAATGTTGAATATTAAAACGATTGTAAACGGATTGTACAGTTCTTAATGAAATTTCCGTTTGTCTAAGTGTTCGATTCTGCTTAATTCACTTAATTCACTTAATTCGTATAAATGTACAAAGAAAAATTCTATTAAATTAATTGATAAAAAATGAAATAATCTTTTAGATATGGCTGGCTACAAAGAGTTTCGGTGTATTCATTATACAATTGGAATAAATTTATTGCAAACCTGTGTGCACAAACCTGTGATCATATCGCTGTTTTCCTCTTGCATCATATCGAGGGACATCGTCCCTTTCGATCCTCTCTCGCTCGCTCCGTCAAAAGAAATACCGCGGAATAACATAAATCCCTATTATAATATTCCATATGTCAGACTTACCAGACTCGCAGGACTTGCACGGCGCGCTGTAAAATATGAAAGAGCGCTTGCGGTTCACAATCGATTTATTATTAGGTCGCTCGGGGATTTACCGCCGTAACGGCGCCATAAGAGGACGCTTTTGTTCGCGGCTATCGGGTGTTCCCTTTGTATTACTTTAAGAAATCGAGACTTTATAGGTAGACGTTAATTATTTATTCGTATCTTTGATCCTTAATTTACAAGAAGCTCTTGGGTCGTTGATCTTTTAAATCTTTGAAAAATATCGGACATATATACTTATAAGTATATCAGAAGAAAGTCCACATTACAAATTAGACAAAAATTATCTGTACGATAAAATGTAGTATTTTAGTTTTACATTTTATATGAATAACAAGTTTGAGAGACGTAATATTAAACTGTATTATTTCAAAGGAAAGAGAGGCTCGAAATTGATTATGTACATCAGATCGTCTTGCGATCTCAAGCTGTGTCGTCATATTTCGTTGCAGGAAAGCGATGCATCGATAAAATCCTTCGACGCTAAAGCGTTCTCCGCTTTATTCTCCCGTTCAACACTTCATGTATTGCCTTATCGTATATTTTTAATATTTCTCACGAACGCGCTTGTTGTAATTCGATTTTTCCTATGCGTTTTCTTGCGCGCGCAAGCAAGTCGCTGCTTGACAACGTGATGTGTTTGCTCTCGAATATACATATTTCCGAAAAGCAGCTCGCGCCGAGAGACGAGAAGATAATTCCACCCCTTCCCTTCACCGTCTCTATTTGTCTCCCGTGAACTCTTTCTTCGTTTCTCTTCGTTGTGCAAACTCTGAGACAGGTGAACTCTGTCGCGTCCTATCGATTCTTCCAACCCAGGCATGTCGGCATTCAAAGGCGACAGACGGGATTCGCCACATGGGAGATGTAAATTTACATGAGTCGTATAGCAAAGCAGTTTCAAAAAATAAATATAATTTTGTCTACAAATAAAGGAAAAGATTTTAATATATACTATATTCAAAGATATAATTATTATTTGCAAATTGTAAGATAATATACATATAGAAAGCTTACCAATAAAGTTTATATCAAATAGAGACATAAAAATCGTAACTCTCTTTTTTTTATTTCACGAAGATATTCCATTGTGAATGTTCTTGCTTAACTCTTTATTACTCGCATGTCCAGGATACATCCCAGCTTTATAAATTCATTAAATATATGAATGCTATTTATACACATCATGCTATTTAGCACAAAATGTTTTACAATTAAAAACATTTTTTGCAATTATTTTTATCTAAAGGATATAGAATATTATCAATCAATTTAATGTAAATCATCAAAAGAGGACAATGACAATTAAGCTGTAGGATCAGGATATCGGAGAAAAACAAAATCTAATAATACATTAAAAAAAAAATCACGCTAGTAATGTAGAGATAATAAGATGCGTTTACGATGACGAGTAGAATCAAATTTAAGATATTTTCTATTGGTTGTATATACGGAATAATCCAATAAGATTCTTATTGTTTAAATGAAAGGTATCATACGATAATCAAAGTTACATCGTAAATTTTTGCGTAACAATAGTATAACAATGACAGACATGTCGACTATCTGGCCAAGTTGGGTTAGACTCATACGACTCGCAGCCCACTTTTTGCACGGTGCCAATTCATTTTCCCGAGCGCGGCCAGATTTTTCGCCGGCGACAGGAGCGCGCAATTAATCGGCGGCCGGAAAAGTTAATGAACAATACCCGGCGGCGCGAAAGCGGTCATTCGCGACGGTGAGCGATGGTATCCATTTATTTCCGTGCCCCCCATCCGGCACTCAACCCGGACGGAGTCGCTGGTTCTGGGTCGACTTCACCCGGCCGGTACCCTTCATAGCGAACGTTCTCTCCCTCTTACTGCTTGCATTATGAACGTTTGTCACATTCGGTGGCTCATATCAGTCTGCCGACGTCGCCGTCATGCCAAAATGTTCGCCGCGACGCCGCGCCGGCCAGATTGCGTTATCGATTTTCGATGCTTGCTCAGCTCTCACTCTCACTCTCACTCTCCCTATCTCGTTCTCCTCCTTGCTCCGCATCGCTGCGGCTTGATGGAGTCAAGTGCGCACCCTCGCCAATGACGCCAACACGCGCCGCTGATTTTTGATATCTTATGTATATCAGTATATACATAAGAAGTTACCTTCGATAACGCACATTATCGAATAGATATAATATTAATATGTGCGTTCATTAATATGTGCGTATATTTTGTTGAAACATACATAAAAATTATTTTTATTAGCAAATATTTTGAAAATATCCTCTCTTCTATAATAATTCTTTATTTAATAACAACCCATTGCAGCTTTTCCAATTGCTTTTCCGAACGCACGAATATGCAAGTAAGCAATTTATTTAATAATGAAATAAATACTAATAATGAAATAATGATAATATACAATATTATGATTGGAAACCATACGTATGATATTTCGAGCGTAAAGAAATAATTTTAAGCAGAATATATGACAGAATATAAGACAAAAATTAAAGTAAAGATGGTTGGACAGATATAGCGATACATAATGAACGACACATAAGCAATAATGATAAAGTTTTTTCACTTTGCATCTTGAAATAAATTTACATTTAATTATCAGGTATAGGAATTAAATAAATTAAAATTTTATCTCCGAATTAATTTGTGAGGATAATTTAGTTTAAACTAATATTTAATTTAAAGATCGGAGAATTTTTTAAATTCGCTTATTAATATTTCTTGCTTTTGAATGAAAAGCGAACGTTACAAACCTCAATAGACTAGCACACTAATTATAGAAATCATCCAGATAGACGTTTATGCTGCTCATTATTGTCGTTGATGAGCTGTATGTTGAATAATTATCTAACAATCTCGGGCAACAATGAGTTTCGTAATTATTATCATTAACATATATTTAAACGGTATATATGCGTTCTTCTCGACTTCCGCTAATGGAGGCAATACGCATCGAATTATCGATGAAATGCGACAGTGGCGAATTATACGGTACTACTGAAAATCCGTTTGCTGTAATTGCAGGTAGATTAGCGAGAATATTCGCGAGAGGGATGAGATGAAGACAGAGAAAGGATGAGAGAATGAGAGAGGAGTGACGTAGGAAGGCAATATTCGCTCGCGGTTCGATCAGTTTGACAAAAGCCTCTCTATCTCGCTTTTCCCCACCACCTTCCTATCCCTCTTGCGCTCTCACTCTCTGTACTCTCGTGCTGTTTACAAAACCGCTCGTTCGATATCGTAATTTAAATTCGCTTGCTGATACGGCGGAATCGAATCGCGATGCTCTATCGAATCGCCATAATGACTAAAGAAATATTGTACAACTTCGTTGTATATGTATTGTATATGTATAGAAGATGAAATCAACTTAAAAGCTGATATATAATCAAATGTGTGTGATATTGATTTTTGAATTATTTTTTGTCACTTTGCAAAAAATTGAAAATAGATTGTCATCAGATTTGGGGGATATTCAATTGATCATTATTGGTTTATAACGAAGGAAAAAGCTATTTAAAAATTGAGTGTTTAAAAATTGAGCGTTTTTCACTGTATCGTAGATTCTTTTCAAGCTTAATTTCATATTTCATATTCAGAATTGAAATAAACGTCACTGTCTCTCTTAGAAATTGTCTCTCGCGCGTCTCGTATCCTCGATGGCGTCTGGCTGGCCTGGAAATTTTTCATCTGACTTGAAGCCGTTGCAGGGTAAAGGGGATCGGCATGTTTGGGACGTCGAAGGGAGTCAAGGGGGAAAACCGGACGGGGGAGTAACCCGGATCAATAGTTCCGTTACCGCCTCACTCAATTTGCTCAGCCTTGCTTCCACCAAATTTGTGCAAGTTCACTCGTCGATGTTCATTAACCATGGCATCATCTTCCTTTGTTATGGGGAGAGAAAATTTCGTTCGTTTGAAATAATTCATTGGTTTCATTTTCGCACGCGTCTCTTTGTCAACGCTGTAAAAAGGGAGATTTGACCTTGACCGAGTATGAATTTTCAATTTTTATCTCTCATGAATTATGACTAACAATAAGTGCTTTTTAGATATTTCTCTCGAAATACAGTCTCTCGACAGTTTTAAAACGCTTAACGTTATTAAAGAGACGTTTAGCTGGCAAAAAAGAAAAGAGAGCGCTCGTCACCTTTGCTTCCTCGATCTCGGCACATCTTTCTTACCTCAATCAGAGCCGCAAAAGTAGGTAATCT